CCAGGTTCAAATATCTAGGGTTCTGGTTTTCCACCACGAACTCAAGCGGAACACACGTGAGAAAAATGTCGGGGAAGGCCACAAAAGCACTCTATTCGGCCTGGGGAGTCGCGACAAGGGCTGATCTGAGTTCGCTTCGAAGTAGAATGTATATCCTTAACACTCTCGGGAAGTCTGGAGGAATGTACGGAGTTGAGATCTGGGGGTTAGAAGACAGGCAAGAGATGGAAAGGGTACAGAGCAAAGCAGTTAAAATGGGGATGGGAGTTACAAGAAATACTCCTGGGTATATCTGGAGGGAAGAAAGCGGCAGGAAAAGCCTGGAGTTGGAAATGAAGCGTAGGGCTCTTGGTTTTTTGGGGAAGGTCTCAAGTCTCGATGACGACAGACTCGTCAGGATTTGCCTCAGGGAAGAAATTAGATCGATCAGGAACGGATACCCCACGGCATGGGGGAGCTCCCTAGGAGCAGCGCTTAGTGAGGCAGAGGATCAGGAATTGTTGAGGGAATTCCACGAGGGGGAAATGGAATGGGATGACTTCGACGAGAAACTCAAAGAATATCTAGAGAGACGAGCGAGTCAGGAAAAGAGTAGAGATAGGGAAAAAATCCTTAGATCAAAATTCAATCCTAACTACGGGCGCCTGCTGAGGGGGGAAGATGACTATTGCTACTGGGAAGACACGAATGTCTCCTGGGGCAATAAGGTCGTATGGGCCAGAATGAGAAGTGGAAATGTAGGGAAGGCCGGGAACAAGGGATACCAGGACGAACGCTGTAGACTTTGTGGGGCCGACAGGGAAAACCTAGACCACTTACTGGTATGCGAAGGGGTTAAGTCGAAGCTAGGGGTTCACCTGAGGAACTGGCTCAACCTAGGCTTGGAAGAGTCGGTGTGGGAACTCCTGAGAGGGGAACCAATCAATGAGCTCTGCAAGCTGATTAGAGAATGGGAGAAACTAATCAGAAAAGAAGCAGGGGGTGAAGGGAGGGGCGATGAGTCCAATTGGAGCACTGGGAACTGATGCGGGACTACCCTTCATCGACTGGGTCCGGGACGCGATTATCAACTTTTGCGTAACTTCCAGTCTCTTTTCTCTCCTTTGAAGTCCTTGGTAATTGTGAAAAAAGACATAAGCTAGGGCACCAATTGTATTCCAAGAGATTAAGCTTTAATTTCAGAGTGTAATTATATTCTTTATTCTTTATGTATAGAGTCACTTATTTCCTCTCTGAGGTTTATGTAATACTACTTATGTAATAACGTTCGTACTGGGGTGTGGGGGGAACCATATGTAAAAGGCCGAGAGGTTATACATGCCTGAATAAAAAATTTGAAAATTTGAGGTGCTAGCTGAGGGGCGCAGATTTCTGTATCAGCGAAGAAGGACGGAAACGCTGAGTCCCGAAGAACTGGCAACAGAGGAGCGGCGAAACAGCATCTCACGTTGGCAGCAGGCATGGGATAACTCTACCAAGGGGCGATGGACACATCGTCTGATCCCCAAGGTTGATATCTGGTTGAGCCGAGCTCATGGCGAGGTCAACTACTATCTCTGCCAGATGTTTTCAGGACATGGGTGCTTCCGAGCGTATCTTCATAGATTCACATATGAGGATTCCCCGGAATGCCCCACCTGCGGAGCGGTCGACGAAGATGCGGAACATGTGTTCTTCTCATGTCCTCGTTTCAACGACATGCGAAGCGATTGGGAGGCTGTACTTGAAAGGAGGATGTCACCCGAAACCTTGATGGATGAGATGCTGTCATCGCAAGCAGCATGGAACGCAACGAGCGACTTCGCGGCAGCAGTCATGAAGGAGCTCAGGAGAGAGGAACGCGAACGCAAGGTCGCATTATGAAGGAACACCTATGGGAACCTCCCACCTACGCACAACATCTTAGCAGGAAGGGGGGACGTACCGTAGGTGAAATTGAGGAAAAGCCAGCGGCTAATGCCTTCCCTCGCGAAGTAATACTTTACGGTGGTTCCGCGAGGGAATCTGTGGTTGAGAAATTTTCTTTCTCTATCTGGTCCTCACGGGGCCAGGAGGTTTAGTGGGTGAAGGCCCCACACAGGGTATGACAGTAACCACAGTACTGTCATACTATCGGGCGGTTAGGTACCTTCCTCACGGCCTCGAGAAAAAAAAACACACACACAGACACACACAGACACACACACAGACACACACACAGACACACACACCACGGATCCTTTCGGCGAGGAACGCCTTTACCCTCCGAGAGTTTTCGCAGGTTGGAAGGTCCTGCAACGTGGCGCGTCCCCAGGTGGTGGATGGGAGAAGACACAGAAGACAAAACCTCATGAGCCAACATCGAAGGATGTTGGATCACGAAGTGGGGTGCCGAATGAGCACCAGACCAAGAAGAAGAGAAATCGCGAGTCCCCGGGAACGGATCCTGATGCTCTGAAGAGGTCTCGACAGGAGACCACACCAATCCAACCGAAGCGGGCGTCGGAACCGCAGAGGGATGCAGGCGAACACCAGCAAATCGGGCCAGGAAAAAATGAGGTTCACGACAGTGAGGGCTGGCAGAAGTGGAAGCGGCGAAGGAAGAAATCTGAGCAAGCTCCTGAGTCGCTTAGGCAAAACCCAAGCCGAAAGCGAACCCAGAGGAAATCAGCGGTCAGGTCGAAAGCACTGATCATTCGCCCTAAGGAGAAGGAGATGTACTCCGAAATCCTACGGCGAGTGAAGAAGGATAGCGCTTGTGGTGAGGCTAGTGATTGCGTCGAGAAGATCAGACGCACGGCCGCAGGGGACATGCTAATTATCCTCAACAAGAAGGAGACCGATGGAGCTTCCCAGCTACGATCAGCCATTGCTGACCTGCTCGGCCAAGAGGCCGACGTGCTAAGCAAAGAGCCCCGGGAAGATATCGAAATCAAGGACATTGACGAGGATACATCCAAAGAGGAAGTCCTTGAGGCCCTACAGAGAGCTGTAGGTGAGGAACACCAAATGGGTTCCGAGACCATCCAGTCTATGCGCAAAGCATACGGTGGAACTCAAACTGCCTGTTTGACCCTCACGTCAGCTGCGGTGAAAAAGATCCTGGGAGAGGGCGACCACGGGAAGATTAAGATCGGCTGGGTAAACTGCTGCATACGTAGAGTACAGAGGCCGGTCAAGTGTTTCAAGTGCTGGCACTGCGGACATCTCGCCAGCAAGTGTAGGAGCGCAGTGGATCGGTCGAAGCTCTGCGCAAGATGTGCAGGAGATGGCCACAAGGCCAAGGAGTGTCAGAAGGATCCCCGGTGCGCCCTATGCGCTGAAGATGGGAAAACGGAGAATTGTGCCCATATCGCTGGCAGCAGCAGATGCCCAGCTTACACAGTGGCACTCCAGAAGCTCACCAGAAAAAGGCGCTAGAGTAAGGAAGGTCCGCAGGGTGTTGCAGCTCAACCTCAACCACTGTGGGGACGCACATGACTTGCTTATGCAAACGGTGCGAGAGCTGAAGATTGATATGGCTATGATTTCGGAGCCGTACCGACACCTCGGCACCCAATCCTGGGTTACTGATGCCAATGGCGGGGCAGTAATCTGGGCTTGTGGGAACAGGCCTTTTCAAGACACCGGAAGCAGGAACGGCTACGTGAAGGCAAAGATCGATGGAATTCACGTCTACAGCTGTTATGCCCCACCGAGTCTCAGCATCGATGAGTTCACAGACTTCCTGGACAGGCTGACTGGGGATGCCAAGCAACACTTTCCCGTGGTGATAGCTGGTGACTTCAATGCCTGGGCAGTTGACTGGGGTAGTAAGGTGACAAACGCTAAGGGTCAAGCTGTTCTGGAAGCCATGTCCGCTTTGGACGTGATCTTGCTGAACAGAGGAGATGAGCCAACCTTCATGCGGGGAGAGGCGAGCTCAATTGTGGATCTTACCTTCGTGAGTGGTGCTCTCGCTAAGAGAAACTACTCATGGAGAGTAGCTGATATATATACGGCTAGTGACCACCGAGCCATACTTTGGGAGTTATGTTCCAACCAGAAGGTCGCATCAGCAGCCAAGAAGACCAGCAGCGTTGGCTGGAGAGTGAGCACTTTCGACCCAGGCTCATTTGCGGTGGCATTAGATGACCATCCAATCGCTGGTACAGATGCGACTTCGAAGGCGCAGAGCATCAGGAGGAAGGTGAGTAAAGCCTGCGACGCCACAATGACGAGAAAGCGGACCACGAATCGACATCCACCAGTGTATTGGTGGAATGAGACCATCGCTGTGCTACGGAAGGAGTGCAACGCAGCCAGGAGGTCATCTCAGCGTGGTAGGAAAAGTCCCAACTTCATGGAGTTGGAGATGAAGTACAAGAAGGCACGGCGAAAGCTCAGCAAAGCCATCAAGCATAGCAAGAGGCAATGCTGGAGCGAGCTCCTTAGCGAGGTGGAGACCGACCCATGGGGGAGGCCCTACAGGGTGGTGATGACACGACTCAAGAGTCAATCAATGCCATCACCATCGTGTCCGGTGCTCCTGAACAGAATTGTGGAGACGCTGTTCCCAAGTCAACCGGAATTTCGCCGCAACTCTGAACAATGGGAAGGAGAAATTGTCCCGGAGATCACCAGGGAAGAGCAGGTGGAGGCCTGCAAAAGAGTGGGAAACTCCAAAGCTCCAGGGCTGGACGGAATCCCGAACATCGCGTTGAAGCTGGCCATTAACACGATGCCAGAGCAGTTCCTGGATGTTTACAACGAGTGCCTCAGAGAGGGCATCTTTCCTGCCATGTGGAAGCAGCAGAGGTTGGTGCTGCTCCCAAAAGGGAATAAACCACCGGACGAACCTTCATCTTACCGTCCCCTCTGCATGCTCGATACTGCTGGCAAGATTCTCGAGCGTATCATCCACCAGAGGATAGAAGCTGCCGTGGAACCCGCGCTTGCTGGGAATCAATATGGTTTTCGGAAAAGCCGGTCCACACTTGATGCCATCAACCTTGTCGTCGAAACCGCTAGGAAAGCGATTGAAGGGGAACGATGGTTGAATGGCACTAAGGAGTATTGCTTGGTGGTGACTCTGGACATCAAGAACGCCTTCAATTCAGCTAGGTGGGACTGCATCATGGAGGCTCTTACCAAACTGGACGTGCCGGGCTACTTGCGGAGGATGGTCAGTAGCTATTTCAGCAAAAGGGTCCTCATGTATGATACCGAGAATGGGCCTAAGAAGTACAAAGTGACAGGAGGAGTACCCCAAGGTTCAGTCCTGGGTCCCCTCCTGTGGAATTTCGACCCAGGCTCATTTGCGGTGGCATTAGATGACCGTCCAATCGCTGGTACAGATGCGACTTCGAAGGCGCAGAGCATCAGGAGGAAGGTGAGTAAAGCCTGCGACGCCACAATGACGAGAAAGCGGCTGCAACGTGGCGCGTCCCCAGGTGGTGGATGGGGGAATGCTCAATATTCTGAGCTGCCGTTCAGAATATAGGGTACCGACTAAATAAAATACGTCGGCGCGAACCAACACCTTCCGAGAAAGCCAACTCTAAAAGCGGTGTGGGGTGGGCTCCCTAAAACACCCCCGGGTCAGGCTCCCGATAACAGCTAGTACAAAAATGATGAGTGATGAAAAAATAGAAAGTTCCCATGCGGGTAGCCATAACAAGGAGAACCCCGCCATCAGTTCTGATGCCGGCTCCATGGAATATGGGAGGAGCCAATCATCACTTTATGTAAAGGTGAACCACTTGGCCTCAGATGCTACAAGTGGAGAAGAGGCTCAGCCTCAAGGGGTGACAAAGTTCACCGTACCACATGAGTACACCTTGATCCCACATCCCACGAGTGTGGTGCAGGTGCAGACTCAGCAGAAGATTGATCTGATCGCCTCAAATGAAGGAGCGAGACGTCAACAAGAATGGGATCGCCACGAGCAGTTAATGGACAAAAATAGGCGAACAATAAATGAGAGTATTCGCCAGATGGCTAAGAGCGTCCAGACTTCTGCAAAGCGACTTAGATCAATGCATGAAAGTTTGCCAGAACAAGTGCCACCGAAGGAAGTAAAATCCGACAAACCAGCATTGAAAAGTGCTGAAATTGGAGAGCGGTTGGAAGACCAGGAGCGTCGGAACACTACAGTTCAGAAGAAGAGGAATCGAGAATCGCCGGGGACGCATTCCGATTCGCTGAAGAGGGCCAAACAGGACAAGACTCCAGCTACACCAAAGCGGATCTCGGAGCCATGTCGTGAGACCATGAAGAACAAAGGTATGCCTTCCACCAGAGAGGTAGCAGGTAAGGGCACAGCCATGGATGTGACTGACCAGGACCAGGGCTATCCGAAGTGGAAGCATCGAAAGAAGAAAGCAAAGCGGGCTCCGGAGTTGCTACGGGGAAACCCGGGCAAAAGGAATGCTCAGAAGAAGCCTTCGACCAGGCCGGAAGCGCTGATCATTCGTCCGAAGAGCAAAGAGATGTACTCAGACATCCTGAGGCGAGTGAAGAAGGATAGCGCCTGTGATAAGGCTAGCGACTGCGTTGACAAGATCAGACGCACGGTTAATGGAGACATGATGATTGTCCTGGGTAGGAAGAAGACGGAGAACGCCTCCCAGTTGCGGACAGCCATTGTCAACCCCCTCGGAAAGGAGGCAGAAGTGCCAAGTAAAGAGCCACGGGAAGACATAGAAATCAAGGATCTTGATGAGGATACATCCAGAGAGGACGTCCTCGAAGCTCTACGGAGAGTAGCAGGTGAGGAGCACCAAATAGTTCCTGAAGCCATCCAATCCATGCGTAGAGCATATGGGGGAAACCAAACTGCTCTACTAACGCTCATGGCAGCCATGTCGCAGAAAATCTTGGGAGAGGATGATTACGGGAAGATCAAGATCGGCTGGGTGAACTGCTAGTCTAGAGGCCGGTCAAGTGCTTTAAGTGCTGGCAGTACGGACATCTCGCCACTAAGTGCAGTGGAATTGATCGGTCAAAACTCTGCACGAAGTGCGGAGAAGATGGCCACAAAGCAAAGGAGTGTCAGAAGGATCCACGGTGTGCCCTCTGCACTGAAAATGGCAAAACGAAGAATTGTGCTCATGTCGCTGGTAGCAGTAGATGCCCAGTGTACAAGGAGGCACTCCAGAAGCTCACCAGCAAAAGTCGATCATAGGAGGGAGAACTGCAAGGTGTTACAGCTCAACCTCAATCACTGTGAGGACGCACATGATCTGCTCACGCAAGCGGTGCGGGAGCTGAAACTTGACCTTGTGATGATCTCGGAGCCATATCGACATCTTGGCACTCAAGCCTGGATTAACGACGCCAGTGGGAAGGCGGTAATCTGGGCTTGTGGGGATCGTTCTTTCCAGAACATTACAGGAGATAACGCACAAGAGGGCTTCATAAAGACCAAGGTTGATGGAATTCATTTCTACAGCTGTTACGCCCCGCCAAGTCTTTCTTTTGATGAGTTCACGGACCTAGATAGACTGACCGAGGATGCGAAGCAGCACTTTCCCGTGGCCATAGCCGGGGACTTCAACGCCTGGGCAGTTGATTGGGGAAGTAAGAGGACAAACGCCAGAGGACAAGCTTTGCTAGAAGCTATGTCATCGTTAGACGTGGTTCTGCTGAATACTGGCGATGAACCGACTTTCGTGAAAGGAGAGAAGAGCTCAATTGTGGATCTTACCTTCGTGAGTAGCAACCTTGCAAAAAGGAACTACTCATGGAGAGTAGCTGATATCTACGCTGCCAGCGATCATCGTGCGATAATCTCGGAGACATGTACTCACCAGAGAGCCGCCTTAAGGCCTAAAAAGACCAACCGCATTGGCTGGAGAGTGAGCACCTTCAATTCGAGCACTTTTTCGGCAGCATTGGAAAATCACCCGATCAGCGGCAACAATGCCACTGAAAAAGCACACAATATCATGAAGAAAGTGACAGAAGCATGCGATGCCACCATGACCAGGAAGCGGACCACAAACCAGCATCCACCGGTATATTGGTGGAATGACACTATTGCCATCCTACGGAAGGAGTGTAATAGAGCCAGAAGATTGGAACAGCGTGGCCGGAAGAAGCCAAACTATGAAGAATTGCGAATGAGGCATAAGAAGGCACGCCGTAAACTCAGCAAAGCAATCAAGTGCAGTAAGAAGCAATCTTGGAGTGAGCTGCTTGCTGAGGTGGAAGATGACCCATGGGGCAGACCGTACAAGATGGTGATGACGCGCCTAAAAAATCAACCAATGCCGTCACCAACGTGCCCTGATCTGTTGGAGAAAATCGTCGCAGTGCTGTTCCCACAACCAGAACTACACCATACTGGCAAGCAAGATGGGACGATGGCTCCACGAATCACCAAGGAAGAGCTGATGGAAGCCTGCAACAGATTGGGTAACACTAAAGCTCCTGGCCTAGATGGAATCCCAAATATCGCTTTGAAGTCAGCTATTCACACGATGCCGGAGCTGTTCCTGGAAGTGTACAACGAATGCCTGAGAGACGGCACCTTCCCAGCCACGTGGAAGCAGCAGAGGTTAGTACTGCTCCCAAAAGGGAACAAACCACCAGACGACCCTTCATCATATCGTCCCCTTTGCATGCTTGATACTGCTGGCAAAATCCTCGAGCGTATCGTTCACCAAAGGATAGAAGCTGCAGTTGAACCTCTACAAGCCGANAACGAATGCCTGAGAGACGGCACCTTCCCAGCCACGTGGAAGCAGCAGAGGTTAGTACTGCTCCCAAAAGGGAACAAACCACCAGACGACCCTTCATCATATCGTCCCCTTTGCATGCTTGATACTGCTGGCAAAATCCTCGAGCGTATCGTTCACCAAAGGATAGAAGCTGCAGTTGAACCTCTACTAGCCGGGAATCAATATGGTTTTCGGAAAGGTCGATCAACCCTGGATGCCATCAACCTTGTCATCGGCACCGCCAGGAAAGCGATTGCAGGGGAAAGATGGCTCAATGGCACGAAGGAGTACTGCCTAGTAGTAACACTGGACATCACGAATGCCTTCAATTAAGCCAGGTGGGACTGAATTATGAAGGCGCTTGCAGAGCTGAACGTACCAGGATACTTGCAGAGGATGGTGGAGACCATTTCTTATGCGATATGTGACCATGGTCTTTTACGAGGTCTCATTGTATTTATAAACATTGTATTGATATTTTAAGAGAATAAAAATGCCATTACACGGTATTAAGCATTCGTTCTGCGATAAATAAGGAGGAGTGGGGCAAAGTGGAATCTATGTAGGGGAGGATGGGGCAAAACGGTCCCTGTTCAATCGTCAATATTTTTCGATTCAATAATCCGATTGGGAAGAGTTAGAGCTCGTTTTGAAGAATGAAAAATTATCTTCAAAATGAAGTTGAAACTGGGANCGATTCAATAATCCGATTGGGATGAGTTAGAGCTCGTTTTGAAGAATGAAAAATTATCTTCAAAATGAAGTTGAAACTGGGAATTTTCACAATGTCATTCACAAGTTATTGACAATTGAAGGGGGGCCGTTTTGCCCCACCCTCCCCTAATCCATGTCATCTTTGGAATTATTACTAAAAATGAATTCCATTAGAAATTTTATTTTCTCAATGAGTCTGACTTATTCGTTGCCCACCGGCGTGTCACAGCCGCGCATGACCTTCAATAGCAAATTAACCCTTCGTTACTCGCGTCCACAGCACCGCGCCAAATTCTCTTTTTGTCATTCCAGCGGTAAGACGGACGCGTAGCATCCCTGAATCTCTCCCTACAGCCGTTATGACAAAAAAAATAAAATTAAAAAAAAATTTTTTTCGTCATAAGGTCTAAATGGTTCGACACTAGATCGTGAGGAACTTTTCTGGCGAACATGAGTTTGCAGACCGAGCCGAAGGCGAGAGCTGCAATCATATGAGCTAATGAATTTCGCCCTAATGACGAAATATACTATGTCATCACACTGTCCGTAAAACGTCGTTATTCAGACATTCAATTTTGCTATGTATCTCATGTGAAACTCAATTAGCAGTAGTAGTAGTATAATTACCAGCGTAGATGACGGGTTCCTTGGACCCCATCCTGAAGAATAAAATCGCTGGGAGGGCGAAGACTCCAAACTCCTTCGCTAATTGTTTGTCGTCGATCTTAACGAAATTTATGCCAGCATGATCCGCCTCGTCATCAATGTGCTCAATTTCACTAAGCACTCGACTGCATTGTTTGCATTCTTTGCTGTCTATCCGCATGTGTTTCGGATTAAATTAGGATAATTAGAATTGAAGAATAACACATCAATCACAAAATCAATTAATTTGTACTTACAAAGAAAGACAGCGACGTAGTCGTTTGTCTGTCGTATCTTATCGAACATTTTTCGATTGATCCTCTCAATGTGATCAGTCAATTCCATATTCTCCGGATTCGTCAACCAATCGAGGATCTCCTCCTCATCGTCAATATCACCGTCGTAATTTATGTACTTCCCCTTCCGGAAGTACGTAATACCCGGGGGATTTCTGAAGCCATATTTTTTTGCCATCAGACGATCTCCCATCTGTACTATTTTTATTCCGTATTCTGCTGCCTCGTCGTCGATCAGCTCGATGTGACGGAGGATCCGGGGACTTTCCGGATCCTCCTCTTTGTCTAGAATTTTCGGTGAACGATGAGTGCATCATATAACAAAAAGGAGAGTCAATAAACACCTGCTTAGTGTATTTCACCCCTCTCTGAGATTTGTTTCCTTTTGTGTTAAAAACCAAGAATAATGTTATACTACTTTTTGTATGTGCCTTATGGTTTTTTTTTTTGGTTCATATCATGTAATAATCTTGTATTTGCCCTTAGGGCGTGCATTCTTACTCCGGGGCATCGATAAAATGCTCAAATAAATAAATAAATGAATAAATAATAATTCGTTTAAAGCATGAAATAATTTATTTCTAGACTCGGGAACAGGATTAGTTAATCCTTTAACTGGAATCTAGAGTTTATTTACGTCAAGAAATGATAGAAGATCCTAAAATAGGAACAAAACGCCTCCTAAGGATGATTCATCCCCAAAAAATAAATAAAAAATCTCAAAAAAATGTAAAATATCATGAGCAAGTGTTGATTTGTCCTTATGATGTTTTTTGGGTGATTACATGTCTTTTGTGAGAGACTTACAGAAGACTACGGCTAAGAACTCTTTCGTCTCGATGTACTTCTGCAACTGCTCGCGATTTATCTTTTCGATACTCGCATCATTCCTCTGCTTTGTCATCCAGTCAAGAACTTCGGATTCGTCCAAGAGATTTCCTGGGTTTTTGGAATTTAATTTAGGGGATGCCATTGAATTTTAAATGATGAATTCGGTTTAAGGGCTGATGAAGAATTATACTTTGAATTTTGAGAGAGAATTCATCAATAACATTTTTTTTACATGAACTATCAATGAATTTCAAGTGCGAAGGAAGAAAATGTAGTTCAGAACAACAAAATTATCGGTTTCATCAATTGGTGGATAATTAAAATCCTGACTATGGACTTTTTTGTAAGAATTTCCTCAGATCAATCCTAAAGGCTCTTCATTTTTGTCTAATTTTAACCCGAATCAACAAGTATTTCGTGTATTTTTTTTCTTGATAGTAAATTGAGCATCTGCTTTTCAGTGCATGAATTTCTTTTAAAAATATAAATCCATTAGAGGTGCAATCAAACAATTTATCCATTCGTAATTATAATGAACGAGTTGTAAAGATTTCAAAAAATTTGCAAAAGCTCATATAAAAAGAGTAATGATCTCATCATGATTTGCACCAAAAATGTCAATATTGTGGGAGGAATTTTGGAAATATCACAATGTCAACAAGTAGGGGAGGCTGGGGCAACATGACATAGCGGGATACAATGAAACAGTCGTAAAACGACTATTTGACGCAATTCAAGCAACAGATAATTTTTTTATTAACTTTTGTTTACCAACTTTTTTTATTATTGGAAGTACTGATGAGAATAATAATGTTTTATTCGTCTTATAATTCAATTGATTACAATTGAAATGATTAGATTAGGCAGATTACAATTTTTTTCATTCGATTGAAATTCAGCATGACATTTTTCCTTTTTCCCAATCTGGGTCTCCCCCTGGGCCTTCCTCTAGACTTTGAATTTTATTGTTTCATTTTCATTTCAATCAATCCATTGACAAAATCTTCTCCTGTCAAAATATCCATTTATTCAGTAGAATAGAAAATTATTATTCTAATCCGTACTCCCAATAATGAAAAAAAATTTTGTTTGCTTGAATTCCGTTAAACAGTCATATTTTCGACTATTTCATTTTGCCCCACTCTCTCCTAGTTATGTGCAGGAATCTCTTACCTGTTCTATTCACTCACCGAATTATATTCTCAATTTCATATTTTTTAATTCCATGAATGGTTCTCCATTTTGTTCCATCAAATTAATATTAATTTCCCATAACGAACAATGAAAAATCAACAAATTGAATAATATGAATGAAGTAAATAGACATGGCTGCATAATTGTAGATAGGACCGTTCTGGAATGGCTATGCAAGGCTCCAGCTCCGAAATGAAAAAAATCTAGGATTACTTCACAAAACGTTGAATATTCTCTTTTCCTTTTCTTTATTTTATTGAAATTTTTTCTCCGTACATCAAACAGTTGACCTTCTTCACCAAAAACCGCTGTACAATTTACATTTACAAGTAGAATAAATTAATAGTTCCAACAAATTCATATATAAATATATATTTTATATATACATTCGTATAAATGTCTTGACTTAAAGTTTGCAATACATGTGAATGCTCATGTTCAAACGATTTATGATAATGATAATTTGTTATGGACTTTAACGGAGAGAAAATAAGTAACTCAGGCGTTGTTGTTAGAAATAGCTGTAGCATCCATGCTTCTCACCATTTCAATCATTTAATTAATAATTTTAGCATAAAAATTGGACGGTACAGCGGCTGTTTATTACATTAATCAACATCTATTTTCTTCTCAAAACAAAAAATGCGGAATATGAAAAAAATGCGCTCAAGACACGAATTGAGAATTTCACAATTGAGACGAAATATTAAATGGCGTGAATAGTTTAATATTAATGCATAAAATTGTGATATCGAATATTTGATAATGCATGAATTAGTGCAACGATATTTCACAAAATATTGTAAATGATCCTTCAAAACCCAAAACTCATATTTAACATTTTTTTAAATCTGTCAATTTTTTCCCTTCTTTTCTTTCATTTCTATCGAATCATCATGCTTGCGATAATGACTGGGCGACGAAGAACGAATGAAAATGATAAAATAAATGAATATATCTGACCCCCTATTCCCCGGGCTGAATTATTCTCATCGATAAACCGGAAGTGGAAATTGTTGCTACTCATAAACTCCTCCATCAGATAGTGGAATACGTCTGAATCAGATCTTAATGAGGTAGGGTAAGCCAGCGACAACTGCAACATGTTTTTCTCCTCATTTTCCATTTTTTGGGCAATTCTTTTTGTTGTTGTTTTTTTTAATAGTTACCGCTTCCAAAAAATCCTCTCTTGCCCTTGGTAGCTTTACCGGTAGTCGAATCACTGGCGGTTTTCATATTTTTTTTAGTATCCTTCGGGGTGAGTTTGTTTATTTGTTTGAGGGCCGGGGGGACTGGTGTCTTGGTACTGCGCGATGATACCTTCGTTGTTTGTTGAGTGACACGGTTGACCTTGGCTATCTTGGTTGGACTCGGGACGTTTGCGCGACAGCACTGGTAGGGCTCATAGGAGGGTATCGTGGGTTTCGCGCTTTTACCACCCATTCCAATGTAGAAACAGCCGTCGCCTGGGTCAAGCAAATAAAACAGAATATTTGTAGTGGCACAGTTTTTCTTTTTTTTAAATTTTTTTACGCACGGAGTTAAACGAGGAGGGTGAGGGGACGTTAATTATCGATGAGGAGTTAGTTGGAATGACTTGGCAAAAAGGCACACGTGCAGTTTTTTTGAGTTTCTGGGCGTTAAAGTGTGAAAATTGTTAGGGCGCTCTATGCTATTATTCTACGCATTATTTACGTGAACTTTTACGGAGAAGCTGGTGAGAAGAGGAGTGATGTGTGGATGATCCTGAGAGAAGGCAAATTTTTTCAATTTTTTTTTTTCAGTAGCGAAATCGGAGAATTTCCCTTTGAGAATCATTTTCTGGGGAGCATCTCGGGAATTGTTGGATTTAAGAGACAATGTTTAAAGTCCTTTTTTATAGTTGAGAAAATTCGCTACAAAAGTCTACTCCAACATTTTTTTGTAAACCCAATAATTTCTGAGATAATTAAATACTTGACGAGACACGAAGAAAATTTTTTTTTGGCGCAAGACGTGGAATTTCCAGAAAAGTCATTGTCAATTTCGTATTTGTTAAAAAAACATGTTGATTCTACGAGAAAATGTCTGAAGATCGCTTTTGTAGAGAATTTATTTACCAACAAAAAAGCCATGACCTTTCATCCGAAAATTGCCCATCATCGAGAGAGTTCAAAATTTCAGGGGAGACTACTATGAGTTTTAAAAGTCGCGGGCTATTGGAATGAGATTTCTCAAACATTGAAGATCGATTACGTATTTCTAAAAACGAATAATGAATGCGAAAAAACTAATTGTTTATTGTTCGTTTACTCTGCAAACGCTTAAAATGTTAAAAATAGTCCAGGGCTTCTAATTTTTTAGCTACAGAGGTTTTTTTTTATCAAAATTTTTGGAAAAATAAGTGCACTAACAATTACGAATTAGTTGTTTGAAATTCAGCTCCTACACAGTTAATTTCGTTATTATTTTAATAAAAAATTGCACCATTCATGTGATGTAGCCCGAAAAATATTTCTGAAAGAATCGAAAATATATTTTTAATATTTTAAGGATAATTTTTCTGCTTATTTTCCATGAATGTCGCAAATTTTTATATTAAACAAAACGAAATTAGCTGCGCAGGAGTCGAATTTCACGAAACCCAATTCGTAATTGGTATTGTACACTTTTTTTTATTTTGAAAAAAAAACCTCTGTAGCTCAAAAATTGGAAGCCCTGGATTATTTTTAATATTTTAATCGTCTGCGGAGCAAACGAGCAATAAACAATTAATTTTTTTGCACTAATCATTCGTTTTTACACATATATAATCGATCTTCAATGCATAAGAAATCTCACTCCAATATCCCACGACTTTTAATACTCATATAGTCTCCCCTTAACAAAACAAAATTAACTTCACTATTGACTTCACTTTTACATATTGCAAAATATCGGGCTAAAGCTCTCGAATCATCACACATATCAAATATAAAAATAGTGGTGTACGCCCTCCAGAAAGCCGACGGGAATGACAAAAATAATGCTCGCCCAGCGGAGTGGATATATTGTCCTCACGATACTAAAAATCTAAAACTAGAGACTGAACATAAAAACGTATAAATGGCCACGCATAAAATTGCTAAGTGACTCGACCTCGACTGTCTGATCCATGGTGGGTATACCTACTAACGAGTCTTCCGTCTCAATGAATTTTAGGTTATCGTCAGTTATCATGGATTATTATTCGATTTCTCATTTTGTTTTTTTTTGCTCTCATCATTGTCATTTCATTCGTCCCAGGGGTGCCAAGGTCTTCTCGTTTACCTTTTTCAAGGATTTTCTTGAGGGCTTTCCGCTGCTCTTCGTCATCATCATCATCATCTTCATCATCATTGTCTTCGTCATCATTTTCATCATCATCATCATCATCATCATCATCATCATCATCATCATCATCATCATCATCATCATCATCATCATCTTCATCTTTGTCACTTTCATTATCAATATTTTCATTATTTTCATCATCATCATCATCACCGTTTTCATTACTATCGTCTTCGTCGCCATCATCATTACCTGTGTATCAAGATTAACCATTTGTGGTAAAAACGACACGTTTCTCGATTTAAAAAAATGCAATAATTTCCCGATGCGCGTTCTTTCCCGAAAAAAATCCAATGAATTTATTTTAGAACTAATGAACTTGAAACAGCCGCTGGAGGTGTGCCCATTCCGCTAGTTGAATATAAATTATGCTCCTATGTTTTATTTTAAACAACATTATAATTATTTTTTAGCAAGCGAAATGAGGCGCCAACGACATGCGATAGAAGTAGAGACAGATAAAGAATTCAATGAAATAATATATCAGTAGTGAAGCAATTTTTTGAAAATATCTTAGAATCTAAAAGAGATTCTATTTTGTAACTCACTACTGCAGTATAAATTAATTATTTAATTATTCCAACCATTTTAATTATCTCACTGGAGCAAAGGGTCAACTATATGTTTAATTCAACAATTAAGGGATGAACATGAATATCAATTACCAGGAACCTTTATCATTTCGAATTACTACACATTAAATTAGTCAATGTAATATAACACAAAAAATGCGTTCAAATTCTTGAATGTTTTTGAATAAAAAAAGACAACAATTGTTAGTTATCCCTATATAAATTATTGTATGTATAACCAGAAAAAAAATAGAAAAAAAATGTACAAAGCAGATTATAGTCAACAAAAATGCAATGAGCTAGATTGAAAATGTTCGATCAAGTATTTGTGCTATCACAATTGGTCAATGCGTACGCGTGGGCACGGCATATTACGCTTTATGGACATTATTACTGTTTCTGTATAACGGTAAATCAGTAGTTACGATTGATATTAAAGTAACAAAGAATAGTACACCCGTTATAATTAACATCATTCTACATGTTTTCTTACTTTTTTGCTCGATTAGCCATTCCAGAACTTTGTCCTCGTTCTTAAGATTACCTATAAAAGTCAGACAACACGCACACATATATAGAGTAATTTATTCAATTGATTTTATCAATGATTTCTATTAATCTTGAACTTTTTTTATAATTTAAGTTCAATAGTTAAGTGGTAAAGAGATAATGAACTATCTCGACAACGATTGATATTGGCGGGAAAATGTATTTTGACATTTCCTTTTTAAAACTGTGTGTTTCCAAAATAAGTAATAATTGACAAAATGATTTACCACTTGACTAATGACTTATCATATTAGGAATGTCATTTTTCAATTGTATTTTTCTGAGTTGGAAAATACTTAGCTCCCTCGCACAAAAGAGTGGGATGGGCATGCTTTCATGGAAGGAACAAATATCGAAAACACAAGATATTTTTCTGTAATTCAAATCAGTTGTGAAGTGATAAAACAGAATGAATCTAATTGGAAATTATTGGTAATTGTGCATTCGCGTAAGTGTCACAAACCATTTTTTCCTCCACTCATCATGACACGCACGAAAAAATTCAACAGAAAATCCTAGCGAATTCGTTAGAAATTTCTATTGGATTTCTATTGAACTTTCTATTAGTTTTTGGCCGATTCTATTGACATGTTCAATAAAAAATATTCAATACAACAGTCAATAGAATTTGATTTTTCTATATAACTTATTCTATTGAAATATTTTCTGTAGAATTTCCTCGGCTCAAATTTTCCAAGTTTTTTTCATTATATTTTTCATTTTTCTCTTCAAGAAAATCAAACAAAAAACGTGGAAAAATTGAGCCGACCAAGTTCTATAGAAAATATCTTAATAGAATAAGTGACATAGAAAAATTGAAATTGAAAGTTTAATAAAAATCCAATAAAATTTTCTCACGAATCCGCTAGGTTTTTCTATTAAATTTTTTCATTCGTGGAATATCATTGTACATTGAAAAAGATGCATAAAATCCACCTAGTCTATCTGGTTCAACCACTTCACTCCTAATATCCAACAAATGATAATTCTTTACACTCTTACCGTCGTACATGATGGGTACACCAGTCTCGTAATAAACTAGCGCTGGAAACGAGAAAATACCAATTTCAGCAGCGAGTTTAGCGTCGTTTGATTTGACAAATTGAATCCCATATTTGTCAGTGTCATCATCGATTGTTTCCAATTCGTCGAGAATTTCACGACACGTTTCATCATGTTCATCATCTATAATGCACAAAAAAATTCATAACATCTCATCATTGATCATCCTGAAAGCTTTCCGATCAAAAGGACTCACAGAAAAATACAGCGAGGTGTTCTACATCGTTAATTAATACTTGAAGGGTTTTCCTGTCGACATTCTCGATAACATCTGGAGTCGATCGCCGAAGCTCTAATACCCAATCGAGAATAGCCTCTTCATGCATCATGTCTCCAGTGTAAATCTGTCGAAATTTGTGACGATAAAATGCAAGGGCTGGCAGTCCAGGGAGATCATACTCCTTCTCGATTCCTTCGTCAGAAATTTTGACGAAATCAATGTCCTCTTCTTCACACTCGTCGTCGATGTTCTCCAGTTCTTGGAGGATTTTGTGACTCTTCTTGTCTCCCTCTTTATCTAAAAAAATGAGATGTCAATTATTAAGCCATGAATTGAAGATTCATCAATGATTAAGAATATCATGTATGTTTTTTTGGAAAAATGATATTTCTCAAAACATTTGGGGATCTGGCGAATGATGTGCTGAATGTGATGGTGGCCAAAAACGTTACGTATTTATTTACGTATTTATTTTTTCAATATCTAGTTCCGGTTATTGGCTTGCAATTTAATCGAATAGATTAATAGATTTTTCTTTGCTAGTGAAGGAAAAGAAATTTTTTTTAAATTTTCTAGCGAAACGCGAATACCATCCTTTAATTATTTAAAGTGTTTTAAATACTTACAAAAGAATACAACAACATGATCATTTTCATCAAGAATGTTCTCCAACATTTTAGCGTTGACTTCCTCGATCTTTCCAGGGATCTCTAGAGTGTTCTCATCAGTCAGCCAAGAGAGAACTTCATCCTCGTCCTCGAGGTCTCCACTGTAGACTAGTGGCTCCTTATTTCTAAAGAATGCGAGTGCCGGGAGGGGCTTGATTCCGTGTTTTTTTGCTACTCCGAGATCCTCGGTTGTAACGAAGATGATGCCAGTTTCATCTAGTTCGTCATCAATGTTTTCCAGCTCTTTCAAGACAGTTTCGCATTCACCTCCTTCATCGCAACGACCACCTGCAGAATTCATAAATTCATCATTGATAGAATTGAGAGGCGTTAATTTGATTTTTAGGTAGGGGCACGCATGAAAAAATTCAATAGAAAACCTAGCAAATTCGCCAAAAAATTCTATTGGAATTCTATAGGAATTCTATGGGGTTTCTATAACATTTCTATTGAAATTCTATTAAAAAATTCTGTGTTTTTTGCGCTGATTCTATTGGATATTCGATAAGAAAAAGTCAATAGATTGCGAATTTTTGTTTGAAATTTTCTCTTGAGATGTTTTCTATAAGAATGCTTGAACATCAATTTTCTAAGTTTTTTCCGCTCGGATTCTGTAATGCAAAATAAAACAAAATGCAGCGGAAAAAACTTAGAAAATTTGTGTCCAATAATTTTAATAGAAAAAATCTCAGGAGAAAAATCTGACAAGAAATTCGAGATCTATTGACTTTTTCTCATCGAATATCTAATAGAATCTGCGTAAAAAAACAAATAGAATTTTTCAATAGTATTCTAATCGAAATTTTATAGAAACCCTATAGAATTCTTATAGAATTCCAATAGAATTTTCTAACGATTTCGCTAGATTTTCTATTGAACTTTTTCATGTGTGGGAGAGTGGGGCAAAATGACACAAAAAACGACTGTTTGATGCAATTCAAGCAAAAAAAAAATTTTTACCGAATATTTTTTTTGTCAACTTTTTCTTATTCTTATTGTCCCACTCTCCCCCAAGTTCTTGTTGAATACATCTTTAGGTTGAGAAATTTTCAGCAAATATTCATCTTGAGGTTGAATTAATAGATATGCATGGGACTCACTGAAGAAGACAACGACGTATTCGTGTTCTTCAATCAGATCTGTAAGGATTTCATCAGTGACCTCCTCAATTGTCGCCGTATTCTTCTGCTCAATCAGCCATTCAAGGACATCATCCTCGTTCAGCAAATCTCCCTCGTAAATCGCTGGGATTTTGTCCTCGAAGTAGATCAACGTCGGAAGATGATCGATGCCGTATTCTTTGGCCTCCGCGTCATTATCAATCCTCAGAATGACGATGCCCTCTTTTTCAAGTTCATCGTCAATGTTCTCTAATTCATTCAAGATCCTCATATTCTGTTTGTCCTCCTTATCATCTGCCAATATCGAGACAATTCCAATTAGTTAGGGTTCAGGGATCCTTAGAGGATCAACGCGTCATGGAGACTTACATCAGATTACTTACAAAACAGAACAGCAAGGTACTCTGTGTTCTCGATGAGCTTCTCCATCATTTCGTCTGTGACTTCAGGGATCTCACGGTGCTTTTTCTGGTGAAGAAGCCAACCCAAAAGTTGATCTTCATTCATTAAATCACCTAGAACGTTCAGATAGAATTATTAGAATGTCATAAAACAAAAAAAATGATACTTTTGAGTGAATTTCTCGGGGTCTAGGTCAACACGTTCTCACAATTGCATTGATAACACCACAATCATTGTTACTAGTAATCGAAAATTTCGACACATTGTTGGGGTTGTTGACTGAGAGAAATATCGTTATAATATCATAAAACCAATTTCTTGCGCTCTTGAGGATAAATTTCTTAGGATAAGAATTCCGGATAATGTGTCAGACAATGTGCGATTTCGGTAAAGTGTTCATGACTTGAAGATGAACATTTCATGATAAAGTGAGAATTTCTTGCCACAAGAAATCGGTTTTTTCGTGTCAGAAGATGAGAAAATGACTAAAAATATTAAAAGCTTCCATTCAGTGAATCATGAATCAGACTTTCATACTGAATGAGTAGAGAGTTTATGCTCAATCGCTTCGAGTTTAGAGGGAAGCAATATCTTCTTGACCTTTTGTCAAACTATTCTTGTCTTTTAAGGAATATTATCTCCTTTCGAAAAACGACATCTTTTTATTCAGTAACTTCCTACTTAGCCCGAAGAGCACCGACTTCTGGTCCAAAACCTACCATAAATTCAGTAGCGAAGCAGTAAACCGAGTTAAGTTGATTTTGACTTTTGGTCAGTTTTTGATGAATATCTTGGAATTTAAGAGAGATAGTAAAATTTTTTTCATGACCTTTTTATAGCCCTTAATTGACCCTACAAAAAACGTTATAACAAAAAATTTTCTATCTGTTGGGAATCCTAGTGGTAGGAAGGAATTAGTGACACGCTGAGTGAGATCGTGTAAGGCACGTCTGCCGAGTACGGTATATTTGACCAGACTAATGATACAGTTTTGGGCTAGGCTTCAGGTCAAGTATTGTGATTGTGTATGTCAGTATGACTGTGTATAAACATAGGGTGAGTGTGATCTTGGATGATAGACGCATCATCGGTGAATCCCAACACTTCCCCTCAACGATGATGTGTCGTCATCATACCTGTATGTGTGCGTTGACATATATTGTTTTCTATGAGTTTAGAACTAAGAAAATGTGGACGGATGTACTACTAAATGGTACAGTTACTTTTTCGATACAAATAATCTCGCATTATATGAAAACAAGCCAATTTGAAACAGATTACAGGATCACTTCCCCTCAATGGCGAATGCATGAAAAAACTGTTTATACTGTTGAACCTTATCCGTTATTAGTTGTCGTTTATTCATTGTACTCGATTCCTATCCCGAAGTTCAATACTGTAAACACTAGGCAGTCTCACACTGGACACAGGTACTTCCCCTCAATTCTAATCCGATGGAGAAAATCGGCGTTGTTTACGTTTGAGGTAACGACTTCCCCTCAATTCCGATGAGATGATATTTCTATTGTGTGTTCTTGATGGTCAATGAGAGTTGAAGGAATGCATCCAAGAGTGTCTTCAATGCCCCGTTGTTGTCCTCATGTCTATGCAAGCAGCTGATCATCGTTGTTCTCTCCGATGCTTCCCCTCAACGGTGATCAGTTGCGTGCTTTGAATAAGACACGTATCAGGAGCATGCCCATAGTTTAGCCTGCAGGCTGCTTCTCCATATCACCCTTGAAGGGCTGCTGCTTCCCCTGAACGGCAATTCCATGGCAAGAAAAAAATTTTCATGGAATTATCTTCGGCAAAAACGATCGTTCCTCTCTCGATGAGATGTTCATCTTTGCTGACAGTTTTCGAGTTAGCAATAGAAACTGTCAACACACGGTCAAAACATTTTATGTCCCTTTCCTAAACTGAATAATTCCTCACCGCTCAGAAACACGAACCACAATAACTGATGTTTGGTAGCCTTGAGCGCTCTGAACACTGTTAAACACCAGCGCTTGTTGATTTTCTCGCCTTCTCACAAACTTATCTCAACAGTTTTCTCGTGTCCTTTTCCAAAACGATCCCATATAATCCCATATAATTGTCCCAATCATTTATCACTTCATTGTCCGTTTTAATTCTTCCCCGTTGCTGGTGCTAATCCTAATGCACGCAAACGGTTGGAATGAAGAGCTAAGGTGGCGAGTGTCTATGCCCCAAACCGGCTGATGCTCCGACCCGCTGCACTACCCACGCATCACATAGAACACTCTAAGTCCATTTGTCCCAATCGTTTTTGCATCCGCATGGCTAACGAAAAGCCGAAAACGATACGAGACAACCATCGTTGTATGTCCTCAGACCAGAAAACCTCCACTTCCGGTGAACAAAGACACACCTCCGTAGTTTCACCTGATTGCGCAGACCCAATAGTTTCACCTGATTTCGCAGACTTGAAGGCATCCGTTCCTCTCCGAACAGACAACCCTTTTGTAGTTTCACGTGATTCCGCACTCCTTTAACTTAGCTGGTGGTCACGTTCACACCTCGTGGACGACACACACCGCAAACTTGGTAGTTTCACCTGATTCCGCAGATACGATGGCTTTCGTTACTCCCGAACCGATTTTTCTCTGCACATGCTCACAGGAGAATAACACAGGACAGGAGAACAGTAACAGGAGAACTAGCACAGACTTAACTCTTTTTTCAATCGCGGCCCAACTCATATTACTTCATCCAGGCGTTGACCTGGGCCCATAACCTGTTGAGAATCCTAGTGGTAGGAAGGAATGAGTGACACGCTGAGTGAGATCGTGTAAGGCACGTCTGCCGAGTACGGTATATTTGACCAGACTAATGATACAGTTTTGGGCTAGGCTTCAGGTCAAGTATTGTGATTGTGTATGTCAGTGTGACTGTGTATAAACATAGGGTGAGTGTGATCTTGGATGATAGACGCATCATCGGTGAATCCCAACACTCTTTTTTAAATTCCGAGATATTCGTCAAAAACTGGCCAATAGCTATAATCAACTTGACCCCTCATGGACGGGGCCCTTTTGTTTCCAAGCATGGAGCACGCTCAATACAACTAGAATGTAATGACTTCTAATCAACGGAAAATTATGAAACCGATATGTAATTGAAGCTACAGTTTTCCTCTTTTCGTTGTTATTTGCTTGGTTGAGTTAAATTCCATAGTTTTCGAAATAATTAATTTCAAAGAGAATCATTTATATTCTCATGGTCATTTATATTCTCATGATGCCATGCATCGACCCCGTACGTGAGGGGTTAACCCGGTTTACCGCTTCGCTACTGAATTGATCAAATATGTATGCGATGTTTTTCGCTCAAGAAATGGTTTTTGTGATATCATGTCGATTTTTCTCATAGTGTTGGGGCACGCGTTTGTCTTAAATTTTCACTCGATCTGTCCAGCAGTTTCTGAGACAAAGCTATTTGTCAAAAATCGTTTTATTGGAACACCTCGAGAACTATTGAACCAATTTAATCCTCCTCGACGTCCAAAATATTGATAAGAATGTCATGTATGTAGACTATAATATTTTTAAATTACTTTTTGCTTCTTACCATCATACAAATGAGGAATTCCCCTCTCAAACAAAACAAGAGCAGGCAGTGTATCAATTCCATACTCCTTAGCTTCCTCATCATCGTCAATTTTCACAAATGCAATGTCATGTTCATCACAGTCATCATCAATGTTCTCTAGTTCAGTCACAATTTTCTGACTCTTCTTCTGATTCTTATCATCTGCAAACATGAATGATGATCATCAAATGAGTAAGTATCCCCGACAAGTTGTGGCAACATACTCACAGAATAGAACAGCAACATGTGGCATTTTCTGAATGACCATATCCAGCATCTCATCAGTGATGTCCTCGATCTGGTCGGACGCTTGCTGCTGCTCCAGCCACTTGAGTACCTTCTCCTCATCCTCGAGGTTACCTTCATAAATCGTGGGGATTCCCTTCTCGAAGTAGATGAGTGTCGGTATCTTTTCAATTCCGTATTCTTCTGCCTCTTCAGCGTTATCGATCTTGACGAAGACTATGCCGAGCTGATCACACTCATCGTCGATGTTTTCTAGTTCGTTAAGCACTCGCTGGGACTTACGATCATTGTTATCATCTAGAAATCAGTTTAACTCATCAATCATTGCTAAATAATCAATTTTCAGAGGTAATGATTGATTAGACTTACAAAAAAGTACTGCAATGGTCTTTCCTTCCTTAACAAGACGATCCAACATTTCATCAGTGACATCCTCGATCTCATCCTTTTCCAACTGAGAAAGTAGCCACTCGAGAATTTCATCCTCATTCTCAACATCACCTAATATATTCAAGATCAATGTAACCTAGCACAAAACTACCAAAAAAAAGTTGACATACACAAAGAGATGAATTCATCTAATCAGCACACGCATGAAAAAAATCAATAGAAAACCTAGCGAATTCGCTAGAAAATTCTACTGGAATTCTATAGGAATTCTATGGGATTTCTATAGGACATCTATTTGAATTCTATTGGGAAATTTCATTTATTTTTTGTTCTGATTCTATTCGATATTCGATAAGAAAAACTCAATAGATTTCAAATTTTTGTTTGAAATTTTTTCTTGAGATTTTTTCTATAAGAATGCTTGGCCATCAATCTTCTAAGTTTTTTTCACTCGCATTCTGTAATGCAAAACAAAATAAAATCCAGTGGAAAAACCTTAGAAAATTTGTGCCCAATAATTTCTAATAGAAAAAATCTCAAATTCGAACAGAAATTCAAAATCTATTCGCTTTCTCGTGTCTCGAATATCTAATAGAATCATCGCAAAAAACAAATAGAATTTTTCAATAGAATTACAATAGAAATCCTATAGAATTCCAACAGAATTTTCTACCGAATTCGCTAGGTTTTCTATTCAATTTTTTCATACGTGCAAATCCATTCGAGATGAATTCCCCTCGATGCATCCCCTCTAATAAAGCAGAATCATCTTGAGTCGATCATATTTACCATCATAAACGTTTGGAATTTGTCGTTCGAAGTAGACGATTGCAGGCACACTATCGATGCCGAAGTCCTTTGCTGCTTTGTCATCATCAATCTTGACGAATTGAATTCCATGCTTGTCAAGATCATCATCGATCTTCTCGAGCTCTGTGAGCACCTGCATCGAGTCATCATCACCGTGGTCGTCTAAAATGTTCACGTTTAATAATGTTTAATAATTAATAATTTCCGACTAGGAGGGGCTACTCACAGAAGAGGACGACGAGATTGTCCATGTTTCCGATGAGAGTGTTGAGGGTTTTAGCTGTCACGTCCTCAATAACATCTTCCTCATCTCCAGTACTTTTGTTGGAGACCAACCATTCGAGGACGTCTTCCTCTTTGCTCAGTTCATCTGGAGCAAAAAAACCATGCATTTATTTTTCAAGAATAACAGAATGAGTTAATTGTAATCATCAAGAAGCAGGGGACAGAGAGCATAGATAGCGCGTCATGTAGCAGTGAGCATGTCACTGAGTGATATCTTATTTTTTTTCTGCCATCAATACATTGATGGAGGGCTTTCGAGTGGTCAGAAATATTACAAAAGTTTATAGTTTCACAACACGAACTAGCAGCAAAAATTTGAGATGGTTACTGTGACCTCCATGAATGCTATCAAAATTTCAATGCTTCGAATACTTCGTATGAGTGGGTGTACATATTTTTTGTCCAAATTTCAAGTTGATATCTCGATTTTTGCACAAGCTGGAGTGTTTACAAAGTTTTTCTATGAAAAACCGGAAAAGCGGGAATATCTAGAAAACTTTGTATGAACTGGTATATATATTTTGATTTAGATAGAAGGCATCAAAACGAATATTTTGAAAACAAAAAAATTGAAATTGGTCGACTAGTTTTGAAGATATTTGCGGAAAATGATTTAAAAACGAATGGCTTTTTCTCCAAAACTATAAGATCGATCGGGCTGAAATTTTTCCCAGCGTTAGTCCCCATTCAGAGCTATAATCTAGCAATATTTAAGATTTTTTGGAATTACTTTAGCCACTTAATTACTCAATTTTTCAAAAATTGACCATCGGGAAAGTGGCGGTGGACGTGGCCACATACAGACATGGTCGCGGAACTTTGTATTTTTACGTTTCAGACCATTCTACATCATCTCCAATCAAAATTAGAGACTGGGAAAATCGAAGGATTGCAATGCTCCCGTTCGGAAGCAAAAATTGATGGAATTAGAAATATGAGACACTTACGCTCATAGATGATCGGTATCTGATGCCGATAATACACCAGAGCCGGAAGTGTTCCTAGATTGTACTCCTCCGCTAGTTCTTCGTCCGCAATCTTGACGAATCCAATTCCCAGCTGATCTGCCTCATCGTCGATGTTCTCCAACTCTTGCAAGGCCTTTGCGCACTTCTTACAGTCGGGTTTGTCTGTCCCATTCCAAATCAATTACTCGTATTACTGACCACTCAATCAATATCCTCATTTAAAATTATTGAGGTAACTATACACATTTAATGAATGGACACGACCAAGCGGAATAGAAAATTAAAAAAAAAAAAAAACGTGCATATCTACATGTGTCTGATGCTGAGTGGAAAAGGATTCAGTCTACTTTTCTACTCGTTGATAGTACATTCAATTAAGGTTTTGCATGAATTTTTTTCATATTAATATAAGTAACAAATTTTTTGTCTATACAAGGCAGATTTTCTAATTGGTTGGTTAAGAGAAAAATCGACATAAAATCACAAAAATCATTTCTTGAGCGAAAAACATCGCATACATATTCGATCAATTTATAGTAGGTTTTGGACCAGAAATCGGTGCTCTTCGGGCTAAGTAGGAAGTTACTGAATGAAAAGATGTCGTTTTTCGAAAGGAGATAATATTCTTTAAGAGACAAGAATACAAAAGTTTGACAAAAGGTCAAGAAGATATTGCTTCCCTTTAAACTCGAAGCGATTGAGCGTAAACGCCGGTTTTTTAAAAATATCTGGAGGTTTTCCTCTGCATAAACTCTCTACTCATTCAGTGGGTGCGTTTCGGAATCAACTACTGTAGCTGCAGTAAAGCGAAATTAGATAGGGTTACAGTACTGCTACTGCTACTAAGTCGATTGCGAAACGCGCCCAGTATGAAAGTCTGATTCATGATTCGCTGAATGGAAGCTTTTAATATTTTTAGTCATTTTCTCATCTTCTGACACGAAAAAACCGATTTCTTGTGGCAAGAAATTCTCACTTTATCGTGAAATGTTCATGTTCAAGTCATGAATACTTCATCGAAATCTGACATTTGTCTAACACATTATCCGGAATTCTTATCCCAAGAAAATTATCTTCAAGAGATGAGATATTTGGCGCAAGAAATTATTTTTGTGATATTATGACGACATTCCTCTCAGTGTTGAAACTTATTGCGTACTCTTATTCAAAAATAAATAAAAAATATCTATTTCACATTGTTCATTATTAATTTCATGTAAAACCCTAATTATATTTTCTTTATAACATGAATACTTACTGGAACCGCTACCCGTGCACCGCTCCGTATTTGGACCTGTCAGGACGAGACACACACAATATCTTCATAAGAAACAACAAACGAAAAAAAAAATGGAAAAAGTGTGCGACATTAACGGTTCATTCGACAATCGCACGATCCAAGGACATTCCCTCGTTTCTTTTCCTGACGTATCCACATGCAGATTTAACAATGAAAAAAAAAACAATTGATTAATTTCATATCTTCCGCATGTACAGAAGCCATTGATTTAAACAGAAACGGACGGACATGGAAATTTAAGTAACAGAAATCTTTTGGTTTTATTATTTTCACTGGATTGTTCTCGACTTTGGTGGGGGATTTTGACTCACAGAAGAGTACAGCAACGAACTCCGTGTCCTCTACAATTTTTCCGAGGATTTTGGCATTGACTTCTTCGATTCTGTCCGGGAGATCCATCGCCTCGAGGCTCGTAAGGAAGTCCAAGACACTTTCCTCGTCCATCAAGTCACCTATTCCATTATTCATACCATGAACCTCTTTTCAAGTACATAGAAGCTATTTGAATGAAGGAATGTACCTTCGTAGATGATTGGCTCTTTCTCCCTGAAGTAGGTGAGTGCTGGGAAATTCTTGATGCCATACTGTTTCGCCAAACGTTTGTCATTAATTTTGACAAAGTCAACACCGAATGTATCAGTGTCGTCGTCGATTTTCTCGAGCTCGGCAAGAACTTTGTCACACGTCGTACAACTTCTCGCATCTGTGGAGAAATTTCTTGTTTTTCAATTATTTATTTAAATTGGTAAATTTTATAATTTTCTTTATTGTGTATTTATCTTTAAAAAAGTGGTTTTCGGGGGAAATATCGTCGGACTATGTTTGTATAGCTGGTGATGTCTCTATATAATAAAAAAATAATCGGGGGGC